TACAAATACATAAACTGCACTTTCAGTTAAAACATTTATAGTGATTACTTCATTCATTCTAGAATGATTACTTTATTCTAATTACGTAATGAGATACATGTACTGTAAAATTACATTGCATTTATGTTGTGTAATGCCATGGTATCAGAATTTAGGTACTGTACGTGCTCTATGTACAGTAACTAATTCTTAAATGCAAAGTACAAAGGGTACAATGTAAAGTTTTATACCCTTTTACAATTTATCATTCTATGAAGGTCCAGTATGCAGGTATTCAGCATTAAATGCATTATACTATATACAGTACACCACTCACATCTATAATGGCACATTGACCTGTTTTGAATATTGAATATTTATCAGTTTAAAGACCACTTATGTTCCTTCTAAAAAACATTAAATAAAGTGTTGTAGGTTTTGAGATTGTTGAATGCTGACATATGCTAAGGAAAATACATATCCACTTTTGTAATTGAAATGATTTTTTATTAGTTATTAAATGTAACTATGTGGGGAATTGTTGTAGGGGTCAAACAAAATTGAGGACTGTTGCATTTTAGGTGTACCAAACACAAGGAAAAATTGTTAGTATCCCCAGTTTTTATTTTGTTGAACTGCATTGCTTACAAAAAACTCTGTGTGCCAGCACATTTGAAACTTCATCTGCTGACTCCATAGACTTCCTGTCTCGGTTCTTTTCTGATTAAAAGCATATTAATTTTTTATAGAGAAATAACTGCATAATTACAGAAAGGGATGTCATTTAACAACAGAAAAAACAGTGCTCCAAATGCGAGGGTAATTGATCTCTAGTATGCCCCATGTACAGTATAGGTTTATGACTATGCATGCACTCTATGCCGTAATAGACTAGTGAGTGCATACAGAGTAGAGTTAATACATTACAGACACACTGACTGAGTGGTCACTGCAGTAGAAAGAGAATGTGGTTAATACCGACCCACTGACTTACTAGACACTCCAGTACATTAACACTGCACTGAGAGAGAGGGGTTAATACAGACACACTGACTGGACACTCCAGTACATTAACACTGCACTGAGA